ACTGTCACTATAACCCATTTTTTGCTGTCATCAGCAAACTTCAGGCCATGGATCTTTCTATTTTCTTCTATTCCATGCTTGGAACATACTTGAAGTAGAATATAAAGTTAAAAAAAATTGTAGCTTAGTCCTCTGCTGAGGCCTGGCAACCAGAATGTGAGCAAAGAGCACATTCACTGGAGGCAGAGAATTGCAGGGAAAGAGGGAGAAAATAAGCCTGGACCAGAAAGGGGTTTTCAGTTCTGCATGAAGAGAAAACCCAAGAAGAAACAAAGGATGGATTTCCAAAGAAGAGTACACACAATGACTTGGGGGGTTGGGTAAGCTAAGGAAGAAAGAGACTAAATGGGTCATCCACGCTAATATTGCATCTCCCAGAGTGAGGGCAGAGACTGAGAGTAAGGAAAAACTGTGGGACAAGTAAGGACAAGCCAGAATGACCCGGAACCAGAAAGAAGCAGCCCGTGAGTTTGCTGTAGACGACAGAGGAGAGGGTGGCATGACTCAGGACATGTTTGCACAAGGAGGAGGTTCTGAGTGAAAAGGCTGTGAGGAATTAGTCGTCTAAGACCCCTCACCATGGCCCTGCGAACCACTGGAACGAGGGCCACCTCTGTTGGGGGGGGGAAGCTATATGAGAGACTGGGAAGAAAACTGAATCATCTAGAAAGACTGAACTTTGTGTCCGTGCTTTGCCATTTTTCTACCTGTATGATCTAGACAGATTACTTAACCCCTCAGCCTAGCTTTCTTCCTTGGTAAAATTGGAACGATACTGCCTTACTTCAAAGGCTGTTGAGAGGTCTAAATGACATCAGGCATATATACGGTGTCACTGATCAGAGGGAAAAGGTGTCTGCCAGGAAAAGACAGTTACCTGTTAAACTGAAGTGGAAGGAAAGTTTACTTTATTCAATAAAGGTCTAATTGGTGATTATGGACACTAAGGCCTTTGAAATACTAAGTTTTTTAAATGGTGTGCAGTGTTCTGGTAAAATCTCTGAATACCAGTTTGCTGTAAATCTGTGTGGGAGACTGTCATCTCTGGAATCACCTTGATAGCCTAATCCAGTGACGCCGGAATCTGCAGACCGTGGTGCCAAGCACATCAGGAGGGAATTCTGCAACACATGGTTGGAATGCCAGTGCTATTCGTAGTGTGTCCTGTTTATTATTATGTACATTCTTACCAAGCCCAAAATAATGGATGCTGCTTTTTATGAGGGGAAAAGAACAAATAAATATTCTTGACAGTTTAAGTCTTTGGAAGGAATCAAGAAAATGACTGGACTTATGTAGGAAACTCACGAAGAGGCCTTTTACATAACTTCAAAAGAAGCCAGAGGCTGTTCTCCTTTGGGGAGGGGGGTGGTGGAGATAACTAGAGCGTGTGACCTACACACTGGGTCCTATTAACCCATGAGAAGATGAGCC